GTCACGCGGACTGTCAGTGCGGATCGCTCCACACAGCCGATTTGTATGAACTGCTAGGGAGCGAGCGGTTCCTCCGGACCGCATTACTCTAAAACGCTCCCTAGAAGTTCATACAGATCGGCCGTGCGGAGCGGGTCCACACCGGCCGGTCCGCGTGATACTAAAACCAGTCTAATAATATTTCTGAACGTCTACCAGGATTGGAGCCTCCATCAGAAGAACGGGATCTTGGTCCAGGTAACTCAAATGCAGGAAACAATTCGTCTGTTCTCCAAGATCGGCCGCCTCGACCAAATAATGCATTAAGGCGAGGCCTCTCCGGAAACCTTAAGGAATACGATATACTTCCAGGCAAATCCGTAGCACCTAAAATTTTACATACGATTAGGTATAAATGTAGGTAGGTAGGTATTTACTACCTTAATAATATTACCAACTACACTGAAGTTTAAAAAAAATATACACACCAAAAAGAGAGTCATCAAATTCCACAGCTGCTATTACTTGCTTAGTTCTCTCTTCGTAAGCATAAATAGTTCTGAGATCTACACTAGAATTGTATGGTTGAACTCGTATTAAGGTTCTGAGAAACTCGTAAATCAGAGTTTTGTTTACACCCTCTAAATCAGGCCAGTCTAAATCTGGAGGCAGTGTGACTGGCGGGGTTTCAGGCCACGTAATATTCGCTGGCAGTGGGAATGGCGGTTCAGCAGGCCACAGATCAGTGATAATTCTGATTAGATCGAACGCATTGTTTAGCAGTAAGTTTGCCATGGAACTACGTAAGACATCCTCCAAGGCTTCACTTCTTGGAGAGTATGCAATGGACAAATTAGTTACGTTGAGACCAGCACTGAAAAAAAGTTTATTTCGAATGTAAGGTACGAGGTTTCTCCGTGCCTGCGTCATTATGATAGGTGTTGATTGATGCAAGCAAATGGAAGTTTACCAATTGTAATAGAGTAAAAGTAGGTACATAAATAGTTAAAGAATTACACATACCTACTTACATAATGGAATTCTTAATTTCTGAGGAATGAATGAGGAAGCTGTACGACATACACATCATTATACTTACAATATTTGTATAGAATTATTCAGTGATTGTGCAGGTAATGGCGAAAAGTTTATCGCATCTTCTGCGGTAGGTTCAATCTGCCACCGAAGCAGTAGCACTAGAGACATCGTGATAACTGGCAACAACACCTCTACGATAGTTTGAATAGGATGCCTCCATTGTTGCAGAAAATTCTTCCACATTAGCAAACGGAATTTCATCCACGATCCGGCCGCCCTTCCGCTTCCTCTTTTCCGATTCATATTTTCCCTGATCATAAGAAAAATAAATTTAACTGCATGGTAATTGCGTTGTATAAAGTCTAGAAAAGTTATTATTGTTGAAAAATCGTTAAAGATTAGGAGGTAAGTAAGGTGGTGGTTTAATTAAAGCAGCAGCAGAGTTGATCCCCGTTTTATAAAACCTACTTAGTCTATACCTACATAATATCTGTGATCAAACAAAGTAAGGCGTTAGCTTTGGAGTGGTTTCCGTCGAGCGGCTCCTATAGACTATATATAAGTAGTAGCTCTGTATATCATTTGCTAAAAACTACCTTAAGTAGGTATTCATATAAATAATGTCGCGTTAAGACCCGTGTTTCTGATTTCGCTAACGCACTTGAAGTTGCGCTTCGCTTTACTTACTACATTGGGTGTGCTTCGGGAATACCTGTTTTGAACATTGAATAATATTGTTTTGAATTGCTTAACCACACCCTTGTTGTGCTATACCACAGTAAAATAAATGCAAAGGAACGTACATAGATCCTGTATCTAGAATCTATATCTAGAAGCGAGTAGGTAGGTACCTACTTATGTACCTACACTACCTATGACTTAATTGCTCTTGATCGAGGTTTCAACCATAATATCCCGCTCTCGTTTCATACTTACTCAGATAGAGTTTAGACCTACTCTGATATTGCACTATGTACTATCTGCCACAGTTTCAGCTACCCATTTACGTTTTTTCTCTCGCTCTCGTCGAATGGTGATTAATTAAGTAGGAGACGACATGACCGGAAATGGGTAGCTGGAACTGTGGCAGATAATGCATACTTACCTAGGTTTAATTCTATCATCGAAATTGAATGTCCTACACAAAAATAAAATTACTTATCTGATAGGGTAGACCAACGAGCCGTTGCTATCAAAAATGTAGGTACATGTTTGCTTTGCTCGCGTGGGTGCATTGATTTTTTACATCTCTCATCATTAGATATCATATTACGAGTAACTCCAGGAGTCTAGAAAGTACTTGACCTACCTAATACCTACTCATATAGTAGGTACCTACTATGGTTATACTTTAAGTAAGTTATCCCATATTACTGTTACTTAGTTGAAAAAGCTTTTAACTACCTAACTTACTTACTTATTAGGTGAATAAACATTAGATGAGGAGGAGGAGGAGAAGTGAAGTTTGTTTGGCTAGGCCTACATTCCTACAACGCATTTTAAAAATCTGAATACTGATATGTTACTTACCTACTCACGAAATAACAGATAAGTAAGTAGATATATTAATTAATGTATGAATGAGTTCACAGAATATAAATCCACGTTTCACTTCACATTCCGTCAGTTTAATTTGTAACACTGAAATTGTATTTTACGATGACGACACTAAGGTGATGCACTCGTAAAACAACAGTAACACAATGTTTTGCCTGCTGCTACTTTCAATGTCTAGTTGGTACTAAATCAATGTTACACCAGCGTTATGAAAATATACTTGTCTAAGTAATATCGTTTTATCAGCAGATAATATTTCGTAGTTTGATAAAGGCTTGATTACTCTGACTGAGCGAATTTACCTATGAATACCTACTTATACCTTATCATATTCAAAAACTAACGACGACCACATTAGCGGCGTAAGGGGGGGCGGTGGGGCCGGGCGGTCCGCCCCGGGTGCCAAGCATCAGGGGGTGACAATAGTCGCGCAGATTAGTTACTCACTGACGCATCTGCATGTCGGAAAATGCTATGGCACATACCCACTGCTGGCCGCGGCGATGGGGATGGACAGTAGTTATGTGGGACTCTCCCCGACAGAAGGGTGGGGCCGACTACCGATTCGAAAATGACAGTTTGTAGTACGATCTTCACCGGTCCACGGAGTGGGAAGCCTGCCCAAATTAAGTCTTCCAGGCCTAAAAGTTCATTAATCCCCATTACTTTAAAAATTAAATCCTAATATAACGGGGATTAATGAACTTTTTAGTTCATTATTCCCCATTATAAGCTCCAATTTGGCGTTAACGGGGAATAGTGAACAGAAAGTTCACCGTTGACGGGGATTATCAACGGGGAATAGTGGAATAAGTAAGCCTAAATTGGTAAATTGAAATGATGAATTTTGATTTCTGTGACGGGTCTGGGTTTTATTGTTACTATGTATAATATGTATGTATTTAAAAAGCATATAAGTAGTATACACCGTGTTACTTTGCCTTCTTGCCATATTCACAGAGATTAAAGTAGGGAACAATACCTATTATTTAAGATAAATAAGAGACTCTCATAAAGAAAGTACACTAAGTTTTTAGTAAATTTAGTTTTTCAGTACAAATTGGAATAAACCAATTTTGTCTCGCACGTTCTACAGGTGCAAGTGGAATAAACCTAGTGGGCGTGGCCTAGTTCTTATTAATCTGTTGTTTTATGGCTCTGGGTACCAGCCTTTTTATCCAGTCAATAATTATTTTAAAATACTCTTCAGTTGATTTCAGATTTTCCTTTCTACTTTACGGGTTTAGGACCGTCAATAATACGTAATAATTATTAGGGTTTTAATTAACTTATAAAATTGTTCCCTATTTTTACAAATTAATAAATTAAGTAGGTATGAAATGAAATAACCTTTTCACAATTAATTATTTATTTATAAGTTCCTACTTACAAAGTTTACGTACTGCAAAGCAAGTGTTCAAAGTGTCCTCCGTTTTGATAGAGGCACAGTCTAGCACGGCGAAGCGTAGGTTTTTCGCTTTAGTTTTCGCAACACATAAACGTTTTGTCTTACAGTTTCACTAAACAATCCTTTCATGTAACGCGTTTACACTGTTTATCTCTTCTGCGCATACCAGTCGTTTCAAGTCACTCCAAAAATCGTGGATCGTGGTGACCAAGCTACTGGACCCCTCGTCCAATCCACTGTTCACCAAACGTATTATTCGCGCACTTGACGTCCTTATTGTGGGGGAGTACCATCCTGCTGGTAGTAGAGCATTTATTTTGGTGTAACGCTAAGGGTACGTCATCAAGCATTTCGTCTAAGACGTCTTGCATACACTCCAAGCTCCATTTTGATTAAATTATTCGTTGTTTGAATACACTTCAGTCATTTTTGTATTATTTATAACGTGATTTGTGATTGATGAATTTCTCAGTTTTTTACAAGTGTCAAAAAGACATTTTAAAGACAATAGATTGCAATAGATATTTAAAAATACAATAAAAAGTAAAAAAGTCTTCATCGCCATCGCCAACAAGTGATGTGCATGCGTTACGATAATTAGTGGTGTGTTTAACAGATTGTCGATAAAATAAAATACTCAAAATTAAAAAAAAATATTTTCGGGCATTATTTTTTTACGGATTTGTGTTCAGTATCAGTAATATAGTTACCTCTGTAAATATGGCAAGAATGCAAAGTAACACCCTGTATAATATGCCTCAAGCTAGCACCCATAACACAAGCATATAAGTTGCTTACTTTGGGGATAGCTGGCACTGTGTGAAATTGTCCAAAGATTTAAAATAATAAATTAATGTAAGTGATGAAGAAGAAGCAATATGAGTAACCTTCTAAGACTCTTCTCTTCTACTAGAATAGAAAGTCTACATTTATTAGGGAAGGTCTTATCAAAATGTAAATAGTATTTTCTCAGATTGTCTTACATGAACAATAAATGCATTAAGTAATAATAACAAAATTAAATCACAAAATGGCTTTATTTCCAACACTGCCTAATATTTACACAACTATACTATAACACATATTAACAAGAAATTGCCTATTGCCATCTATAGTGTGCATAGGCTCTGTTAGCTTCACACTGCCTATGCAAATCTTGTTTCCTCTTGACTACTTTCCCTGTGTTATTTGCTGCATCAAGAAGTTCCCAAGCAAATTGTTCTGGAAAATGGATGGTTCTTTCTTTGTCATTTGTGGCTTCCAACAACCACTTTATAGCCAGGAAGAGGGATCTTTTTTCTGTTATAGGTCCTGGTACCTAGAAAAAAAAAATTGAACTTTACTGTGTCAGGAATTTTGTTATTAAAATTCAAATTCAAATTCAAATTTTTTATTGCATATTAAGTGTTACAAAAGGTCATTACATTTAATATTGTATGGTACCTAGTTTGTGCCTTGGTAAGATATTTTTAAATTTGTAGATTATTCAGAAATATAAATTCAATATTTTAAATATGGTGCAAAAGGTATTATTACTAACCTGGTAAGTTATACCACCTCTCTTTATGGGAGATAATTGTAATAAAGGTTTTGAATTTTCAATAGCTTTATGTAAAACTCTTTTAGGATCCAACTCAATTTTATTTTTTTCTTCAGCTGTTGAAGCCAAATGATACCGCTCAATTTGTGTTCTTTTTATATTTTCAAAAGCTTTCTCAACAAGGCTGCGAGCCAATTGTTTTTTGCCCATTTCCATTACATGATTTATCACCTTGCTGAAAATAAAAATAAATTTACATAGTTAAAAAAACTGTTTTACTCAACATTTTAAATTAAGTTCTTGATATAGCATGATATATCATTTAGAGGATAATTATTATTTAACTCATTAAATCCAACAAGCTGACATGCCACAGGTCACAATGGAAGAGTAGGTAATCTGATTAAAATGTCAAACATTCAAGAAACAAATAAGTACGACTTGTAGAAATTCGATAATAAAACAGGATGTATCTGAAACTAACTTCACAAGTGGATCATGGTAGGCTGAACTAGTTTCATATACAGCTGGCGGCTTTACAGGAACAGCGGCCAACTTGGATAGGTCACTACTCTCTATCAGTTTTGCTTGGTCTTCTTTTCTAAACACCGGATTTTGGAAGAAGTCTGGGAAGCTGGTGGGTCTTGAATAGAACCTGTGGTGTGATACAGCCACTCTGGAAACGTATAAAAACACTAGCGTAAAATATCAGTCCAATAATAATAACTACTTAACACAATTTTTAGGTTATCTTATTATACCTGGATAAATCTTGACTTATTTTGAAGCTATATTTTGGTATAACACGTAAGTTGTTCATTTTGCTCAATTACTTCGTATATTTACAAAAGAATTCCAAATAAATTATGAAATGTACAAAAATTCGTACATCGGCAGTTTTGACGTTGTTGACATAAGTTTTTTTTTCTATCAACCAAACTACAGCTGACTTGAGCTTTGGAGAATTTGGAATCAAGGCACAAGATAAGGTCTTAGCGTACTTATTTTTTTCTTAATTTTATTAATAAATTTATCTCTTTCTCTGTTACTGTTTCGCTTAGCCTCCACCTTTCGAATTTTAATGAGCGACCTATAAATTCACAATCATTCAGCAAAATTCGTTTTTAAAGAGCTAAAGGTTTCAAGAGAGATCAGCCCGGTCAGCCCCCCTGCTGTAGGCCTAAGATGCACCTAGAGATGGGTTTTCACCCGGGTAAAAACCCACATGAGGGTAAAAACCCAATAAAAACCCGTTTCATTCCACCCGTGGGTGTTTACACCGGGTGAAAACAAATAATTTTATAATTATTTCAATTGGTATCTTTTCTTTATTTTTATTGAATTTTTCTCATTTAAGTTTATCCCACCAAAAACATTCTGTAAAAAATTAGCCAAGTCTCGATGGAGCTGCCTGTTTATCTCTAAAAAGTAATGAAATCTAGACAGTCGTGCCAAGTCTATGGTTCCTTACTGCGATTTCTTTATTATTATTTTAATGTTGTGTTACTTGGCCGTTGAAGGGTACCAAACTAGATGCTCCATGACACCATTGTACCAATTTGTCGCCAAAATCGCTACCCATTGACGATGGAAAATAAATTGCACTTGGAAAACGTTGATTAAATAACCAGTCAATTGTAGGCTTAATAAAGCTGCGTATTTCAATAATATTTATGTATGATTATCTTAATAAAGATTGTTCAACGGCCAAGTCACACAACATTAAATATAATAATAAAGAAATCGCAGTAAGGAACCATAGACTTGGCACGACTTTGTCTAGATTTCATTACTTTTTAGAGATAAACAGGCAGCTCCATCGAGACTTGGCTAATTTTTTACAGAATGTTTTTGGTGGGATTTCACTTCTTTTTGTAGAAAGTGGCATAATTATTTAACGTCGGCGTCTTTTCTTTTAATATCATCGACATTTTTTTTACGATATTAAACACAAATAAACTCAACGACCTTTAAAATGGACAACGAATCAGAAATTGTTTTAATAACAAGTGCCACGCCATCTAGCGATGAGCGGTACAGGCGAACACCACGGTGCCGGTGTGGCGCTAGTAGTATTGATTATGAATGTGGTGTTACTCCAGATTTTCGATTTTCCTAGTTTTTATAGTTTTCCCTTTATACCCGGGTAAAAACCCACATGAGGGTAAAAACCCAATAAAAACCCGTTTCATTCCACCCGTGGGTGTTTACACCGGGTGAAAACAAATAATTTTATAATTATTTCAATTGGTATCTTTTCTTTATTTTTATTGAATTTTTCTCATTTAAGTTTATTGATTAATAAGTAATAAGTCAAATTTAACACTAATATGCATTTATATCGTGGCCAAATCGTAAAATTGATCACGTTATGATGATGTGACCAATTATTTTATAAAATGGTGTTATTTCAAGAATCGTTGAACCGATTTAGAAGAAATTTAGTAGGAACACAATAATTTGTGATCATGGCAAGGACATGGAGGGGGGGGATGCCAAAGATCTTCTTCTTCTTCTTCTTTGGTTTATGGCGATGAACTTGCGTTTTTTCGCCACTGAGGGCACACTATTCCGCCAATGTCACGTGCGCAGCTTTTACACAGTGCAGTGGTTATAAAATAAGTAATTTGTAGCTGCAATTTAAGCAAACTTAAATACCTAAAACAAACAGACATCACAAATAAGACAACACAATACGTGAAAATAAAATATAAAAAGAACAAACAATAAAATTATGGGAGACAATAAAAAGGGATGTTGTTGATGCCAAACTCTCTCTTTGATGACATTACGGTATAAAGTTACAAATAACAACACCAACTACAAAGTACTTCTGCTTAAAATAGGCGATATCACGCCATTTTATCGATTTTGCCCATAAAAATTGACGTCGATAAAAGTCATCACGGCGCGCATCTTAGGCCGACTGGACAGTCTGGACAAAATGCAAAATGTAACAGTTTTTATGAAGAAAGGTGGTCGGGAAGCCTTTTTGTATGGAGTTTCAAAGTGCCATTTGTCTAGACCCACAGATTACGATTAGAAATGACGCAATGTGCATACATCTTTATAATGTGCCTAAATTACAAAACTCGGGGCTGTGATTTAACTGTCAGTAGCGCGGAAAAAAAAATAAAAAACAAAATGTGATCAAGCAAATGTCAAAATCACTCGCGAAACAATTTAATTTCTGAGAATGCCATTGTTTATTTTGTTATTTCTGTACCCATTTTATCTAAATTAAAGTTATCGATGCATTTAACAATATGTCGACAATCATAAAATTTGATCTCAAAGAATTAAGAAAACTAGCAAGTGACAAAAACTCTTGTGTTGTAGAAAAGAAAGTAACGCAGAACCTAGCATTACAACCATGGTGTCTTGGAAATCTGAAGGAATCTGTTAAGAATTTATTAGATTACAAAATTGGAAAATTTGATAAAGAGTGAGTAACTGACTATCTTTGGTATTGCGAAATGTACCACGATGCTCAATATCTTTTAAAACCCTCTTCACATAATAACACTTTTCAATTTTTCAGATTCAATGGGATCCTGTTGAGCTATAAAAACCTACGGATATTACAAAATGTCGGATCTATTCGAAATGATAACGCTGACATACATTTTCAAGTACAAGCAGACTATTTCATATTTCGACCTCATGTTGGTGCAACATTAAAAGGTGTAGTTAACAAGAAGAGTCCTACTCATCTAGGAATTCTTGTCCACAGGTACTGTTTTATTTAATTTCTACCTCAATATTATATGTAATAGTAAAAGTAATGAGTAACGTGATTTATTTCTAAGGTATTTCTGTTGAATTAATTTAATTTGTTTTATTTTTTAGAGTATTTAATGTTGTTATCCCTCGTCCAACTGAAGAGCCAGGAAATAAATGGATTGGATCAAGTGTTGAAGAAGGACAACAAGTTGTTTTTCGGATAGTGGTTTTAGATTTGTATGGAGCATTGCCTTACATCAGAGGAGAATTGGATGAAAGGTAAAAAAATATTTGTGTAGTCATTGAATATGATGTCAGTATTTATAAGTTTATGTTCAATTGATTATTACCTTTAAGGTACAAGATTTGTCTGTAATATTAGTGTATCTAGAATTCTAGATACTTGACTTCTAGCAAGTATTAGGAAGTGATAAAAATAATATCTCATTATCGTTTGTTGAATTTCAGATGGCTGAAACTTGGTCCTGATGGTGATGATGAAGAAGATGAGCCAACTTCTAGTCAACCAATGAATGTGTCTTACATCAACTTTGATAAAACCAAGCCGCATGTACCAAAACAAATTGGGGATGGATTACCTAACACCACTTCCAAGTCTAATAAAACGCACTCTAAATTGAATATGTCCAAGAATCAGACCAAAAGCAATTCCATGAATCCAGATAATCAACCACAAGAAAGTAAACAGAGTCCTGCCAGAACCAAAAAAGTTGAAAGTGAGATTAGTGTTGTTACAGAAAAAACGAAAAGCAAAAGACAAAGCAAAGCATTAGAACCAGATTCAAAGCAATCAGCAGACATCAATACAAGACCATCAAAGAAACATAGAAGAGAAAGTTAGAATACAATTATTTATTTGGAAAATTCACTATTTTACATTTACAAACTACTATAGTAAAGTTTACAATGTACTTTGATTTAATAAAATAATAAACTTTTATTTTCTGTTATTGACTTACTAAAACTATACATGATCAAGAAGAATCAAATATCTAACGCGTGCTCGGTACTTGCATACTAATTTGGGAAAGGAACAAAGCCGCAAAAATTAAGCTATACTCAACATCAAATAAATCGCACCTTCCGCGACGGGAACTTTAAAGATTTTCTTCTGACACAATCATGATGGGGTCCGTGGCCGAGTCCCCCAGTGTTCGACGCACCCGTGGTCGACGCCCCCGGTCAGTTAAATTCGATTTGAAGCAATTTTTAATCAAATGTACAGTCAGGCACAAAAATGTTTATAAACAAATATTTATTAATGAAATGAAAATAATTCCTACAAAAGCTTTTTGGTTCTTACTACTGCTGGTTTTGGGTTAAAATTTTGCTCCCAGCCCAGATTGTATAATTAGCGTCAAACATGCATAGTTCAGTATAATAATTAGCTTGTGAAACTTTTTTCGTTGACTGTACTTAGTGCAAAAGCCGAAAAAAATATGATTTAAATTTATTTAAATCGGGGGCGTCCACCACGGTGCCGCGGTGCGTCGAACACTAGGGGAATCGGCCACGGACCCTCATGGTGCCCCAACAATATTGGTGTTATTTTAAAAGCCCAAATAAATAAACTTAAAGAAAAACACACTTAATTTCTTAATAAACCATTGACATTGTAATATACCTTAAACAGGGTGTTAGGTAAATGGGTATATGAGCCGACACTAGCCCATGTTAACATGGTCATATAAATGGTATGGTGAAGTCAGAAATTTGATATCATCATTTTAATTTTCATACAAAATAAATTTTATAAAATCCGATTTGTATGAAAATTAAAAAAATTAAAATGATGATATCAAATTTCTGACTTCACCATACCATATGACCATGTTAACATGGGCTAGTGACGGCTCATACAGGGTGGAAACGATAAGTGATCTCACTCGATTATTTCTAAACTACACAAGATATCCAAAAACTGATTACTGATCCTAAAAGTGCTTCACGAGCTCTATCCAACGGTACCAACAATAGGTTACAAAATAAACTGGATCTATCTGAAAATTCAATGTTTCCAGTCTCCATACATTTAGTAAAACCACATAATATTAAAAACTATACAAGATATCCAAAAACTGGTAACTGATCCTGAAAGTGCTTCACGAGCTCTATCCAACGGTACCAATAATAAGTTATAAAATAAACTGGAACTATCCGAAAATTCAATGTTTCCAGCTTCCATACATTTAGTACTGCCACAGTCATGGCACTCATGTCTTTATAATATTATAGCAAGCAAAGTCTAAAACCAATGTTTTTCATGAATAATTTTAAATTAGAATGTAATTTACGAGTTAATTTTAAGTGTTTATTATTTAAAATAAAAATAAAATATCACTTCTAATATTGTGTGGCTGGCATAGTGGCATACATTTAGTATTTTAGTATGGAGGCTGAAAACATTGAATTTTCGGATAGATCCAGTTAATTCTGTAACCTATTACTAATATCGTTAGAAAGAGCTCGTTAAGCACTTTCAGGATCAGTAATCAGTTTTTCGATATCTTGTATAGTTTAGAATTAATCGCTTGAGATCACTTATCGTTTCCACCCTGTATATACCCATACCCTTAGATTAATTTATTAATCTAAGCCCATACCCATTTACCTAACATGATCTCACGTGTCCTCTAAAACAGATGGATAGCGAGCGTAACTAAGTATTTTTTGAAGAAGTGACTCTGGCTGGATCCTCCTAGACACATTTTTGGGGTAAAAACCTTTCCTTTAATGAAATGAAGTTTAGAACTAGGCATATAAATGGTGCCAATATTAGTAGGAAGCATACGTTTGAAAATGCTTGTCGCGGGAGGTGAGTTTATTTATTTGATGTTCATAGTTATATTTCGGCCATGTTCCTTTCCCAAATTGTGTAGTACCAAGCTCGTTTATTCTATAGGTATGTATGGTCAAAAACATAATACGTCAATGGGCCAACCATGAAGCTATAGATAAAAATGGAGGCCCCACTCCGAATACCTACTTGAAGCACAACCTTTGTATCACTATCTCGCTCTCTGTGGGCAGACTCTCTCTTTCTAAATAAACAAAAAATATAAATTTGCTCAAAGTCAATTAAACTCAATTTAAAATCTGTATTTCTTGACATAGGTATAATTAAATGTTAATTGTAAATACTGGTAAAACGTTTTAGGAAGAAATTACTGTGAAAAATGTTTACAAATGATCCAATGTCGGAAATCCCGAAATAAACACTTACGCGTGGAATCTTAAGTCATTTCCAGGACACCACGTACTACCGCAACCACGCACTACAAAATTTTGCACCATTTCTTGTGATAAAACAATGATTTTGTCCTGTAAAAAATCTCAAACGAAATTAACTGCCTAATAAACAAAATAGTAAACAACCGCCATGATGGGCATGGGCCGGATTGGGCCGATGTTGCCACATGGTACCGATTTCCCAGGAATTGGGATTGTAATTCCCTGATTCGCCAACACATTAAGCCTAAACGGCCGACAATTTTGTGATTTTTAATTTATCTAGGAGATAGCAATACTACAGTTCACACTAAAAAGAGAGGTAGGGCCACAGGGAGCGAGATAGATATAAGTAGGTATTTGACTCAAGTTTTTGTTCCAAGTTTGCCCTCCATTTTTATCTTTAGCTTCATGGGGCCAACCACAGATGTGTGTAGTTCCCTGTCTCATCTGTGGTGTAGTTCCAACAACTGACAGTCGGCAAAATAAATTGACTTGAGTTTACGAAATTACAAATGTCAAAAAGAAAATATTTTTGGTTATGTTATTGTCTAATGTGAAGAGAAGTTCCAAATAAATATAAATAATGGCTTATTTAAGATCTTTACGAAACCAATTTAAATATTTTACATACCAAAAAATGAACTTTTCACAAGAAATAACTGAACCTAAGTTTGAAACGGTATTTTCATTTCCTTCAATAAAGTATATTGCCATCATAAACAGACTTAAAATGTATCACATCTTCGGAACTTCTATTGGTATACCTGGTTGTGGAGTTTTAGAAATGGCCAATGCAGTGCCTCCTACCACTTTTTTATCTGCATCATATATTGGTAATTTGAAACCCAAAATCAATTATTTTTCTTGAATATTTGCAATAAATCATTAATAACTATGTTTCTTTAATGTTACAGGTTTGACTGGAGCAGCTCTATTGTGTTTAGCAACTTTACCATTTCGTAATATTATTGGATTCTTGTACATAAGTGAAGATAATAAATATATTAAAATATCATCTGTAAACTATTGGGGAAAAAGAGTAGACAAAGTCATACCTGCTGATGACTGGATGCCACTTCTTGATATGTCCTCAAAACCTATGGATCCAATTTACCTTTCACCGCAACTTACAGATGGAAGTACATATAAATTATTAGTCAAATTTGGCAATGTATTAAATGCAAAAAAAATGGGACAAGTTTTAGAATAATTTTAAAAGATACTTATGTAGTCATTTGTAAATATTTTTAATTAATTAAACTTAGTATGATCAAAGCTTTTGTTTCATTTTTAAAGTAAACTAACTTTGATAGTGTAGTAACTGGGGATACTATTTTAAAGCCATAAGATAGAAAGCAGCCAGACACAATGTTTGAGACTGTATATTAATTTCCACTTCAATAGACTGCATGGGTTATTGAATCTAAATCAACTTATAAAATCCGGCCCACCATCCAGTGCAAGTTGAACCTAATACATTTGTATTCATTACATTGTTTCCTTTTACAACTCTTTATTGTTAAAATAAAGCTGTGTATCATAACACAACCAGTGTGTTAAGCAAGGGCAATAAAAATCAGGATTTGTTAATGAAAAGTAAAACCATAAGATTTACTAATGTATTATTCTATTTCTTATATTATTTTTCGGAACCAAATCTTATAAATAGTAATTTTGAATAAATACAGTGAAAATTAATTGCTATAAGTCATAATAATAATTAATAAAATGGTTTGCGAACATAGTGTATTGCATCCATAAAAAAATGGTCACTATATGAAATGTAATAATATTGTTAATATTCTTATTTATTTATTTATTATCTGTTTGTATATACAAATTTATAAAACTATTAACTACATTATGTGTTTTTGCATGCTAAAATTCATTTCTGACTAATTCTGGCAGCTGGATAAAATTTACTACAAGCAAGTTTCATTCCTATTTACCCGACTGCAGAATGGAGGGTAATTTTTTTAAACTTTACATACACAAATGAACATTATTATAATTAGGTACTTCTGTTCCCAAAACAAAGTTACATAGGTTTTATACAGAAATCAAAATAAGCAGCTTATCTTAATGGTAAATGGAACTATTTATACTTACATAAACATTATTTGAAACTTATTTTTTAATCTAGTTTCAGGACAAATATACTTGCTGAAAATAATTATCTACTTTGGGAACTTAGTATACATATAAGTATAACATTTATTATTTAGGGTGTATGTATAAAATATTTCTTTTTACTGTACCTCACGGTATTAATTCAAAGAATTGTCCTACTTGTCCTAACAAATACTACTTCATTTCATTCATACAGAAATACTTAATTTTAATATTAAAATTACATTTCTAACAACATAAACTGTCATCATGGCAGGTATTTTAAATGAGGCAAGCCAGTCAACATAGATTTAAGAACTGTCAAACATTATTATTCTCTATTTTAATGATCAAGTACCTGATTTAAAAGGGTGTTTAA